TTTTGAAATTGAGATATTGAGATATTTTTGTTATATTAGGAGTTTGGGAATATTTATTTGTTTTGTGTGTGGAGTTTCTGCTGGCCACCCTCAATTAATTATGATTAGTTCTTGACTTATCCCTGGTCTGTATTTCAATATTTCTTTCCTACTTCTGTCCTTTGCGTCTCATTCCCGTTCTGAAGGAAAGTATAAAATCCTGGAAGTATCTAGAATATCAGAGATATCTTAGTAAAGCTTTGAGCTTAATTGCTCTAGTCGCAGAAACAGATTGGTACATTGTGTAGTTTCGCACTTTTACTATATTCTAAGCAATTACCATTCGTACAAATTAATATAAATAGAGTGCTGATTTCCTGCAAATGACTGTCAGTATCAATACCGAGTGAACTTGGCGAGGTACTGGTCGAATCCAGCAACTGATCGGGATCGATATTTATTTGTAGGTTTAATGTAAATGAAAAGAGTAAATGCAGGGCTTCCAAAATCGAAATTTCGCTACATTGTGCTCAAGTATATCCTTAAATTGGAAAATTTAAGATGCTTCACAATTTGACACAATTTCTACAATTGGTGATTAAGACATGGTTCGCAAAATACAGATTGTGTCCATTTTTTGTATTCACAAATGCTTTTGCTACAGATTTAGTTTCACTCTGGTGTGGACTAATTTCCATAAACAGCTGCTGAACAAGAACACACCGATAAATAAAAATGAATTAACTGGAAAGGATACGGTGACAAAGATGGTAAAGGTGAAAGTGAAGAATTCTTTCAACAATGCAATTCCTTGCCCCCTCGAACCTCCTTTTAATGTTTGTGCTAATTGCAAATCGGAGAAGATGTAACAGATGTTTGCCGAATTTCGTTTCAAGATAAGTGGTCATAGAAGAAGAAATAAGGACTTTTGTCTATTTGAATCATCTCTTCATTTAACTGAATTACTTTTTTTATTTACACTAGCAACAAGGAAATAAATTTAAAAAAGGTATTCACATTTTAGATAACTACTATTGTAGCCGTAGTGTATGTGAATGATGCATATCTATCAAGACCAGGTGCAGTGAATCGTAGATGCATCTCCCATTCAACATTTCTTGTACAATTTCGCATTTAATAATTGAAATGACATTCAAAAGGAGAAGAAGAGCTCAATGTCATTTTTCATACTTTGCATCTTTCCCCCCACCCCACCCCGCCCCACCCCGCTNCCCCCCAACTGGACAAATTGAACTTCCCATCTTCCTCCCTACTCTCATTTTAAAAGCGCAGTTCGCAGAATTGTGTGTTTGACAGCTTCGTTAAATTAACAAGAGAGAGAGAAAGGGGTACATTTGGAAAAAGGAACTGGGTGGACAACGCGAACAGATTGAAGGAAGAGATGCCAAAGCAGATTGGGATGAGAAGACTTACCTCTTAATCTGACATGTCGAAGAGTGTCGCAGTTGGTAAGTTGTTCCTGAAAATTGATATCGTCAAATGTCAGTCAAAAATCAAATTCATTTATTAGGATTTAATTATTCATTTTTTAGAATCACATTCTAACATAAGTTTCCAAATCCTTTCAGTAAGTGCCTAATAAACGGAACAACTAAAAGCTTCCATTAGGAACAAAAATTCTATAAATGCAGGACCCTGCTCTGCTCTAAGAACATTTTAGTGTGAATGGTAATTTTTTTGCAGTTTACCTCAAGTGAACAGCAAGGAGATGTGCTCTGTAAAATTGTCTCGAAGTTAATCCCACCTGCCTGGTCCCAGCAAAGTGAATTCATTCTCTTACGGAATACTCTCTGATTTAAGGGAAGTTGTTGCCTTCTAATTGCTAATTCGCTTCTCCGGTTCCTTTCTAATTTAACTTATTTGCTACTCACCTCATTTTGGTGTTTAACGATGGCTTAAGGTTTGTGTTTTATAGCTGTAATAGGGCTAAACACAAATATCAGTGATTATTGAAATATATCGAGATAATACGTGCAAATAGTTTCAGCATTTACAATGATATCAAATATTAAAAGCAAATATTGCCGAAACCAGTACCCATGAGACAAGGGATAGCTGTTGCAAGGACCCACACACCAATCTCTACTTGGAACACTCTCAAAACCACATGCATTTCTAGGCTTTTCGCATTAGATCTGTATTTCTGCAGTCGGCAACTCTTTTCCTTCTTACAAATGGCCTACTGCCAGTTAAAATTTAAAAATGAAAATATGTCAATTTACTGATCGGGTTTTTACTCGGAACTTAGCATTGAGTTCTAATTCCGAGGCTCCCCCATTTATTAGAATCAATCGAATTTTGACAGTCATCCCAATTTAAAAAAGGTGAAAGCTCTCATTGTTCTAAAAATACTCCGATTTAACATTTTTATTCAAGAATTCTGAAGTTTTCCCTTTACACATTTTTCTTACCTACCCATTTTTTACATTGTTCATTGAAAAGGTACAGAATAAATGCGATGCACATCCCAATTAGAAGTCCATTTACGTAGGCTTTGATTTCATATACATAGGTACATTACTTATCATATGAATTTCTGCTATAATGTTTAATTAGTGCATCTAATTTTATAAATATAATTGGCGGAGATCGGTTGCTCTCTGGAAAGGAATTGATGAGAATGCGACCCCGATAAGAAGTAGTTGAACCTAGAATTAAATGAATTTGAGCACTTTCAGTACCAGATATATAAATATTACTGCATCTTCACCTCGGAATAGCAAAATGATCCCTCAGGTAAGTCAGTTGAGCAAATTGAATTCTCATGACAGTAAATGATAAAGTTAGGTTGTCAAACGCATTGTCTCATTTAAATTCCAGAAAGGTTTCTCATAAGAAAAATAATATGGTTAAGTTCTCATGGTTCTACCCCTTAATATCTAGGTGAATTCATGTCCACGATGTTGAGGGCCTATAGCCCAGTTAGTTCGTCTGATGCATATGATCTCGTAGACATGAGTAGGTAGGTGACACTGTTTAATATTCCAGAGCCGACTATTATTCTTATTGTTACCGTAAATTTGAAATTCCCGAGTGGATTTAAGGTTCAGTCACGGAATCCAACAAATTTTAACCCATTTTGTTACAATCAGAAAATGGCTAATATGACTTTACTGTGCAAATATTCGCACTAATGGCCACTTGGTTCACCATACATCCTCTAATTTCCTGGCGAACTTCAATGAAAAAATGAGAAGCGGGAATATGTGTAAAGCGTTAACACTGAAATGCTGTTTCTTCTAACATCTTGTTTGTTACTACTGAGGAAGAGAGGGAGATAGTTTTTACTCTGGCTTATCACAGCTGGAATGCTAATTCTGGTTCTATTACTACAACCGTAGATTCTTTTCATATGGCAAAGCTCTCTAACTCCACTTGCTTTTCTTCTTCTATTAACAAGATTTGTAGCATTTATTCTGTGTGTGTGTGAGAGAGAGAGGGGTTAATGACAGAGGGCCCATTCAGTGACGAATATCGGTAGTCTTTCATCAGCCGCCGGAGGTCTATTATTAGGTTATAAGTAGATTGTATAAACATATCATTATTGTCACCATAATTGAGGGGGGTATCCCGTAGTTAGCTTGTGTTTTAATTTTCATTAAATAGTCTAAGTGACTCACAGTCCTCACTGATAAAGCATTATATTTTATGGTAACGTTTTAAGACACGGAGTAGGGAGGGGGGGGGAGGACGTCGTGGTGGGTGAAAAGTATTAATCCCAGTTTATGTTAATTTAGCTCCTTCTGAGTCCAATTTTCTGGCGACGAATAAAATATTGCTTTTACGACTAATAGTCAATTAATTTAATAGCATTCTCTGAAATTAAGTTAAAGAACAAAAATAAACTTAGTTTTTCAGTTAATCTATTGCCTTTCACTTTTCAATAATTAAATAAAACCCCGTTTAAGCAGAATGTGGAATAGAATGATGAGAAGATGAGGCTATTCATGAAGAATCGAAAGTTAAAACCTTGAAGCGAAGAGAAGAGGAGTAGAGGATAGTTTATAATGAACTATTGAAAACAAAAGGATTGATCTTGATCAGAACTTACCATATTGCATCCGTTATAGAGAAGTGTAACTGGACTCATTAAATGGCAAATGAATTATACCATACTCACTTCACAGCATCTCAAGGGGAATTTATCTCGCGCACTGTCATCGAGAGCTCGGAAAACACACTCTCCTTTTCTGGTTGTTAGCCTCCACGACCACTAAGCCAAAAAGACTTCATTAATGCTGCTTTTCTTCGTCACGATTCCTTCTACCATTTGAAGCTGTCTGCATCAGCTTCTCTTTGGGTCGCTTTACGGATCATCCACTTTAGTGACTGACGAGAGTGACAGACTGTACTCCTATCGTCGATGGGGTTTATTCGCCTTCTTTTCTAATGTTTGCCATCTACATCCGCTAAGGTAGTTATGGCATACCTCATTTATAAAATCTGCTTTTCTTTGTTTAATGCGTATACACGACCAAAAGGCATTAATCGTATAATGAGTAAGTCACGTTAGTTACTAATCGCTTCACCCGTGTTGACTATGGCTTCTCTACCAACAAAGGTGGTTCCACTATTCAATGAAGGTTTTGGATGCAGTTTCAGTAGCCGAACGCCTTGGGTGGCAGTATTTAGAAGTAGGACAAAGAGACATGAAAATTGTATTCTTCAAACCGCTTAACGTGCGAAACTACATCTTACAGTCTTCCCATTTTACCAAACTTGGAAAAAAATTAAAATACTTAAGAAAAAAGAAGTTTTACCTAAGATGAATCGCTTTTTCTCATACCAATTGTAACTTGCTTGGTAGGCAAACTGAATGTATGCGATAACAGATAGATTCCATTTATACCTTAATCATCATGTCTCAAAGGGAATTTGTCATATGGTTCGAAACTGAGAGTCTGTTTACCACAGAGAGAAAGATGGAAAGTCGCAGTTAAAGGGCCAAGAAGTAATCAAATAGGCACTTTCGCTTTAGCTTTTGTGTTTTTCCTCACAGGCACCGTAAGAGGCCTCAGTACAAATGGGAGCAAGAGGTTTCTCTCTGGGTGGTCCTCTTTTTGGGGCACTTAGTGGGTCTCCCACCTCTGTGGTTCAACTTCTCCTCCACTGCATCGCGTAATGTCCCCCTCCCCCATTGACACGAGCTTAAAGGCACGCAGTAGCACCTGTAAAAAGTAAACATACACACACACACACACATGCCGATGGTCGGAAATCCTTGTATGTGCAAGCGCCACAGCTGCCAGTTTGTTTCGGAAAATATCCCACTGCCCTTTTTCTTTTCACATACAACTTACCTACCGCCAGTGAACTACCTCTGCGAATAATCATCAAGGCGCAGATTCCCTGGAAAAATACATTAAAACACATTAGCATTATGTCCTTGTGCATTTGTTAGCATTTTAAATAAAAATGCTTCTTTGACCACCGTTCTTTAGTGCATATTCAATAAAAGAGAGCTAATTATGATAATTTATGCCAAATTGTGGTAACCTATAAAGTATGAATCAGTGTAAATAAATATCTGCTCATAGTGGTGTTTTTGGAAATAAATTGAGGGTCTTTTGAGGAGTAAGAAAAGTGGTTGTTAGCTACAAAATGGAGCAGATTTAAAAGAAATGGAATAGACGATGAAATTATGCTATGGTCTCAGAGTTTTACTCCTAATACCAATAACTGCTTTCATCCGGTTCCAGTCCCGGCTCGAACCTGGAGCAAGTTAACTTGGCACATTCCATGGACGAGTCTCAAAGACTGCTCTAATTTGCCGAATTAACTGGGCTTTTGGAGTGTTGGCGTATTCAATGCAAGTATCACCCTCAGACGTTCCTAGCCCTTTATAAACTCCGACAGCTTGGTAAAATTTGGTCTGCTTCTCACGAGGAAAGTCCTTTGGACTCTTTGCAAGCCAGGCTATTTGTTAGTCTACTTGTAGAGCTTTTGACATTGGCAACAGTTTTTCCAACAATAGAAGCAGATTACTTGGGCTTTGGTAGAATATTCCAATTTGCCCAATTTCTCGAGAACTCTTTCTACGAGAAGTATACCTCTGTGGCATCTGTATGAACCTGCTGCAGCGGAGGTCTTCTTTGTGTATGTGCTACGAGATGGAGGCTGAAATATTCGACTTATTGTGGCAAAAAAGCCAGAGTGGTGATGCCAGGGTGCTACAAAGCTTTCTTCTGCAGCACCTTCTTGAGGAAATCCATTGTGTCGGCGTAACCAGACCATTTAATGTTGGATTGTTTGCAGACTGTTGAGGCAGTATTGAGCAGTGCACACAATCTCCTTATTTCGATGGCAGCCGAGGATCCACACGATGCAGGTTATTCTTTTCCATGATTCACGTCGATCCCAGGAATTTATTCCATTTGCCGTAATGCTTATGGATAATGGTTTTAAATTTCTTCAGGAATTGTTGTACAGGCCAAGTAATACTCGGTAAAGTATGGTCCGAATACCCAAACTAGCCAAAATGCCAGCGCTTTTGCCAGCACTATTTCATCATATGTAAATAGGGCGCCTCGTGTATTGTTTGTTCACAGAGTTCTCAACTGAAAGCTCAAAAGTTTTGTTTACTTGGCCCTTTTCAGTCTGGTTAAAGAGTTAGGTCGTGCTTGTTATGCTTCGAAATAAAAAAGAGCTAACGCCTTCGAATTTAAATAGTTTCAACAAATCGATTAAGATTGGAAAATCAGATTTTCATCGGAAATATCATGATTAGGCAACACTTTAAACGGAACTAGGTCTTATGGTCAATAACTTGTTCTATAATCTAATGAACAAATTTGAAAAATTTATTTCAAATGGCAGGCGTTTTGATAGCTATCATTAGCCCTTTAATTGACTTCGGGCTTCACAGGGGGAAGGTTCATCAAAGTAGCAGAAAGTCGAGGGGTGGGGAACAGAAGAGCGATTCACAGATGTAAAAGAGGCAGACAGACACAAAGGCAGCGAAAAAGGTAAGATGAGTGCTGTGAAAGCGGTCGAATATGACAAACAGTCGGGTCATGAGGTGCGTACCATGGAAGTGGTCGAATATGACATACAGTGGAGTCATGGTAATTTGAAGTCAGAAGTCAACTGCCGAATAATAGACTTTTTTATTGAGTCAGAAGTCAACTGCCAGTTAATAGACTTTTTTTGCCGTATGGCCGTATGATTATACGTTGCCCAGGGTGCACCACGTGGAGGTAAGTCTATTGCAGGGTGCACCACGTGGAGGTAAGTCTATCACACACCCCAATTTGAAAAATTGAAACTTGAAATGTGAACGGCCTATTAAGTGGCCATGTGGTACCACTCGATTTTAAAGTAGGCTTTATAATAAATTCCAAACTTTTAATTTGTTCATATCATAATGGAGACCATTTTTATTCATCATTGAATCCAAATAAGGCTTCAACGGAAAAATGGAACCGTTGTCAGTAACTTAACTGACACATCTAATTATGAATAGTCCCCCCCCCCCACCCTCCCCACATTAATTAGTAGTTAATTTAATAGCAATAAAATACCATGTTCAACCGTATACCTCAATAGCCTTTACCTTACTATTTCTATAAAGCATATATAAATCATCGTGGTCTCAAAAAAGTCTCATGAAGTCAAATTGCTATTTCATTCAATATTTTTTAGAGGGTGGAAATGTTGTACCGATATAACGGAGTCTGGAGTAAATAAGATTTGTAGAAAAGGTATGGAAACTAATCTTTTGAGAGGTGGAGGATGTTAGTTTGGAATTAGACGAAGAGAATTTATTTTAAAAGTTCAAGTAATAAAATGCTAAAAAATCGTGGAACTGTGTACCCTCTTTTTTGTGGGCTATTAGGATGTAGTCGGGGTGGGGGGTGGGGGTGGGG